TATCATAAATAAATTTAAAAAAAAAAAAGAATTAAATTGTTTTAATAGCCGTAAGGAAATAGCTAAAGAAAACTGGTTCTCAACCTGTTTGTGTGATTGGTATTTGGGGTGTTTGTACTGAGTGAATTAATACCTATCACAAGTATAAGTGTTAATATATTTATTAGCTTTGCTGCCATTTAGTCTGTTCTAAAAACAAGATAAATCGTACAATTCTCTTAGGCTTGAGGATATTTTTCATATCACACTTGTGTTTATACTTGGAGAAATTATGTTTATGACTAAGAACTTAGTATACTCATACTTGATAAAACTGAAATGTTAAACTCATTTTATTTGTAATCTGTACTTTGCATCTCCAGAATATTTCCTAACCTCTGCCAGCTGTCATCAGGAAGCCGTAGAACAGACCATCATGGCTCTTCAGATGGATCGTGACAGTGACGTCAAGTATTTTGCAAGCATCCACCCTGCCAGTACCAAAATCTCTGATGATGCCATGAGCACAGCTTCCTCAACCTACTAAAAGGCCGGAACCTCATCCTTCCGCTTCATAGGGAGCCAAGGGCTGACAAGTGCTCCACACATGCGATCTGGGCCAGCCTTGGGGAGGAGGAGAGACTTTCCTCGCTTGCAGATTAATTGCAGGTGCAAGTTGCCTACATTGATACCAGGGATTTTAAGAGTCAAGAGAAAGTACAGTAAACACTATTATCTTATCTTGACTTTAAGGGAAAATAATTTCTCAGAGGATTATAATTGTCACCGAAGCCTTAAATCCTTCCGTCTTCCTGACTGAATGAAACTTGAATTGGCAGAGCATTTTCCGTATGGAAGGGAGGAGATTCCCAGAGACCTGCATTGCTTTCTCCTGGTTTTATTTAATGCCAGATAGATAGAGTGGCAGCCAGAAGGTGGCTGCGAGCCAGGATGTGACCGAGACCTTCAGTATTAGCCCGCACTGTCCCCACGCAGGCAAGGACCTGTTGGTTCCGTGGCCAGCCGCCCAGCCCGGCCCTAAGTGTGAATAGTTGCCGACGTGTGTAAATGCGAAAGGAGATTGGGGGGTGGGTTTCTCCTAAGGGCTTGATGCTAACACTAAAGTAGAATCTGATTTTAACTCTTAAATGCAGCATATTGCTGTGCACATTTACAGAATGTTGGCTGAGTATCTATGTCCCGATTTTCTTCATGCTGGTCATGACCCGAAGGAGTGGATTGGCGCGTGCTGTATGTCAGGTGTTTTTAACTTGATCATGATCGGCTCTGAGGTGCAGCTTTACTTCCCACGTGTACATACCTGTGACCACTCTTGGGAGTGCTGCAGTCTAATCATGCTGTCTAAACTTGTGGCACAAGTTCTCTTGTCCGAATAAAATTTATTAATAAGATTATATAGAGAGATATATACACTTCTGATTGTTTTCTAGATGTCTGCAAATAAATGCAATTTGTGACCTGTATTAATGATTTAGTATGAAGTGGGAAAACTAGATTAAAATATTTGTCTTTTATCTAGTTTAGTAATTTGTTTGCCATCTGCATGTGCCATTTGGGGCCAGGTTCTGTTCCCAGCAGGCAGTGGGGTGTCCCGAGTTCAGCCCAAGGCCCCGGACACATAGTCCTGCAGCTCTGAGTCCCCGCGGCCTCTGCACAGTGGGAATGGGAAGCCATGCCCCATCTGTGGCCAAGCGGCCTTGCACAAGCTGGGACTGGGACGCTGCAGACTGCTGCATGGAGGTGGCGGTCGCTCTTCTGAGCCCAGCTTGAAGGACCCTTCGCCTGAGTCCCTGGGGTGCACCTGTGAGCTTTGCTTTCCATGACTCAGCCGGCAGGATCCCCTCGAGCCTCGGGGTGCGGATTGGGGAACACGTAGGCCGTGTTGTGTACAGACTATCGCAGGTGAGACCTGTGTCTCTGCCGCTTGCATTACAACCCTGCGAGCGGAAGTGTGAGCCAGTTGCCCTGGGACGGAGGAAGCGGGGGTGCACGGCGGTCTATGGAGGGGGTCGGGGGGGTTGGTGGGGCCTGGCCCAGAAGGGGGGCACAGATGGGAGGAGGGCGCAGCCCCAGAATTTCAGTTGTGTAAATGACGTGACCGTCACACACGAAGCTGCATGTTTTTTTTTTTTTTTAAGGTTTTATTTGTTTATTCATGAGAGACACACAGAGAGAGGCAGAGACACAGGCAGAAGGAGAAGCCGGCTCCATGCAGGGAGCCTGATGTAGGACCTGATCCCGGCACCCCGGGATCAGGCCCTGGGCCGAAGGCGGTGCTCCACCGCTGAGCCCCCCCCCCCCCCCGGGGCATCCCAGTGCTGCGTGTTCTCGTAAGCGACAGCAGTAATAGTATATTCGGGATAAAGGACTTGAATTTAGGGCAAGCGTACGAAGGCAGCACAGGCCCCTTCCCCACTGGCCCGGCCTCTCCGCGACCTCGCTGCTGCTCGGGCCTGCCCTTGGAGCCCTCCCGCCGTGGTCGCGTCTGAAGAACCGCGGGCCGCAGGAGGTGGGGGCTCCGCTCCACACTCAGCGCCACGTGGGCCGAGCCGGGCTGCTCCTGCCTCGGGGTGGGAGCGGCCAGGGCTTCTAAGGGAGAGAAGTGGGCTTCCGGAGGCAGCACAGGACCCAGCAAAGGAGGAAAACTGACCATCCGAGCAGATCTTTGAAACCCTCCAGGAGGTCAAAACTGCAAACCAGCTCAGACGAATTTCATAATCGGAAGAGGAATCAGGTGGTGAGTATGTCCTCATAGGCGTTAATGCGGGGCGGCTAATCTTAGGAGATACTCTCTGCCAATCCGTGAGCATGGAATGTTTTTCCATCTCTTTGTGTCTTCCTCAATTTCTTTCAGAAGTGTTCTATGGTTTTTAGGGTATAGATCCTTCACCTCTTTGTTTAGGTTTATTCCTAGGTATCTTATGCTTTTGGGTGCAGTTGTAAATGGGATTGACTCCTTAATTTCTCTTTCTTCAGTCTCATTAATAGTGTAGAGAAATGCCACTGACTTCTGGGCATTGATTTTGTATCCTGCCACACTGCCGAATTGCTGTATGAGTTCTAGCAATCTTGGGGTGGAGGCTTTTGGGTTTTCTATGTAGAGTATCATGTCATCTGCAAAGAGGGAGAGTTTGACTTCTTCTTTGCCAATTCGAATGCGTTTAATGTCTTTTTGTTGTCTGATTGCTGAGGCTAGGACTTCCAGTACTATGTTGAATAGCAGTGGTGAGCGTGGACATCCCTGTCTGGTTCCTGATCTTAGGGGAAAGGCTCCCAGTGCTTCCCCATTGAGAATGATATTTGCTGTGGGCTTTTCATAGATGGCTTTTAAGATGTCGAGGAATGTTCCCTCTATCCCTACACTCTGAAGAGTTTTGATCAGGAATGGAGGCTGTGTTTTGTCAAATGCTTTCTCTGCATCTACTGAGAGGATCATATGGTTCTTGGTTTTTCTCTTGCTGATATTATGAATCACATTGATTGTTTTACGAGTGTTGAACCAGCCTTGTGTCCCGGGGATAAATCCTACTTGGTCATGGTGAATAATCTTCTTAATGTACTGTTGGATCCTATTGGCTAATATCTTGTTGAGAATTTTTGCATCTGTGTTCATCAGGGATATTGGTCTGTAATTCTCCTTTTTGGTGGGGTCTTTGGTTTTGGAATTAAGGTGATGCTGGCTTCATAGAACGAGTTTGGAAGTACTCCATCTCTTTCTGTCTTTCTGATCGTGAGTCTTAAGCGACGTCAACAAAGGTGAGGAGGAAAACGGTATTTTTCAAAAGCTTGAGCTTAGTCCCCCCCCCCCCACGGGAAACTCACAGGCCGCGCTCCCCCCCCCCCCGCAAGCTCTGAGCTGGGCCTCCCCGGGGGAATCTCGGCTGCTCCCCCCTTGTCTGGGAGAAATTGTCTGCAGGCTTTGGTGCATTTTCAGTGTCCCTTCACCCAGGCCCCAGGCCACCAGACCTCCTGTTGGCAGAGTGGAATGGCTCAGGGGGCCACCTTTGGGCTGTGATCCTTGTGCTTAAGTCTTGGAGGTATTTCTGTGATGCCAGACCATGGTTTTTCTGGAACCTTCTAGCGGAGTTGGCAAATGCTGAGTTCCTAACTACACTGCAAATGCCCTCTGAGCTGTCCAGGCGATGGCACCCTGATTCTTAGTTTGCGGGGCAGGTGGTCAGGTACACGGTGTGTGGCCAGTTCTTCTCGTACCTGTTCCGTCCGGGGCCCACTTCATCTTGGTCGAGACTGTTTCCTGGCGTGCTGGAATCTGAACGTGCTGAAGGGAGCAACTCGAAAGTCTGGCACTGCAGTCGGGGGACCGTGGATGCCTGAAACACCAAGCTGATATTTTGGGGGAGCATCAGGAAGCAATACTTCTTCACAGATGCTGCTCCAAGGAGGAGGGAGCTGTGGGAGGCAGTGGCAGGTTTTCAACTGACCATCTAGAGGAAAGAGCGCTGCATCCCTGCCCCGGGACACACGCGAGGATTTCCTTTAATGGGAATATTTCCATGCAAGATTCCAGGAGACAGAAGGAATGGGTGCTGGGAAGAAAAGAAACTCCTGGCAACTCACACCAAGCAAACAGCCTCTCTACAATTAATAATCTTCTGAGTCAAACCAGAGGCAAAGAAGTTGAATCTGAAAATGTAAGCAAGACCTGGCAGTTCTGTTGTATTTGTGAATTCCCCATCTTCAGCCTCTCTAAACTCAAGAGCAGGGCCAATCCCTTTAGTAGCAAAGGTGACAGCAGGTGTTCATCAGTGGTCAGCTTTTATTCCATGCAGCGTTTTATGTGGCTGTTTTGGGTCTATTTCCACCAGGTCTCATTTTAAGTCAAGTCTTGCCGAAATACATGTGGCAAGATTTGATACTTGGGTTTTTAGTCAGAAACTTTATCCTATAAATCTTTCACCATGCCCCACTGTGTTTAGGGTTCACAATGCCCACGGCTGTTAGGAATTGGACTCCAAGCGTCACTTGGGTAGTGTTTGTAGATGTCCCGTGAGGAAGCTGTGCTCAGCTCAGGTCCCCATCTGGTCCCCGTGAGCTGTCGCGGCCCAGAGCTTGCCGGCAGCCCAGCACGAAGAAAGCACAAGATTGGGAGCAAAAATCCTGGAGGAGAGGAAGTTGCAAGGGAACGTTGCCTCAGCCGTCACCCAGGGGAGGGCGAGCCTGACAGCTGCGGATGGAACGGGACAGACTCAGCTCCCCAAAGGCCACCCAGCTGCCATTTAAGCTGTGACATGCCACAGCAGGGATGCGGCCCCCCAGTCCACGAGGAAGTCTCGGTCTCCTGCCCAGTAAGAACATGCTGCGAGCTGCATCTGCGTGCATCATAGGGCTGCCACCGACTTGGTTTGGATGGCCGTGCTTTATGAGATTCTTCTGGGCTTTTTAGTTCTCATTCTGGCTTTTAAATATTGCTGGCAATTCAGGATGCTGCCTTCAAACGTTCATGTACATGTCGGTCACCTGGACTCGGATGTTAAAGTACACACTGTGATCCAGCAGGTCCGGGGTCGGGCGAAGATCTGGCACTTCTCCCAAGGATCAAGGTGACTTCTTTTTTAAAAAGATTTTATTTATTTATTCATGAGAGAGACACACAGAGGCAGAGACACAGGCAGAGGGAGAAGCATGCTTCACGCAGGGAGCCCGATGCGGGACTCCATCCCGGGTCTCCAGGATCCTGCCCTGGGCTGAAGGCGCCAAACCGCTGCCATCCACCCCCCCCCCCCCGGCTGCCCTCAAGGTGACATTCCTAAATACCAGGATCCTAGAGGCAGCCGCGGGACCTTACCGTTCCCAGATTAATCCCCTCTAATTCGGATGACTCCGCCGGCACAGTTATCAGGTTCATGTAATCTCTGAATCTCGTCGTTTGTTGCAAACCGCGGCTTTAGGCTGTGCTGCGGCCCTGGGGCCCCGCCGCGCCCGTCCCCCGCCTGCGCAGCGAGCGTCCCCGCGACCCACCGCGGAGGCCGAGCCCCCCTTGCTCCCCTGGCGGCGGCGCGTGCCTCCCTCCGGCTCCGCCCGCGGCCCCTTCGTTTCCGTGCGGTGCTAAGGGCTCGGCCGGGGCAGCCGCGAGGGGCAGGCGCGAGGGGCAGGCGCGAGGGTCGCCTCCCGTCGGCCTAGGGCGCGGTGGCCCGGAGAGGAGGGCAGGACGGCTGGCCGGAGCGCGCCTGCACGGAGGTGGAGCTCTGCACGGCTGGGGGGGGGGGCTGCGCCGCCCCCGAGCACCGCGGGCCGTCGGGCCGGCCTGGCGGCGCCAAACGCGGTGTCCTTTGGGCCCCGAGTGGGACCAGAGTCCCGGATGCGACTTCGCCAGAAGCTTCTCCCCTCCCCGCCGCGGCTTGAGCCCCTCCCGCGGGCCCGGCGCCCCTTGCTTCCCCCTGCGCCCCCGGACGCATGTGCGGCGACAGGCTCGGCCACAGCCAGCCGCGGGCCGGGCCACCGCTTCGGGCCTCGGTCGCCGTCGTCAGAAACGAGACAACACGCGCAAATGGAGTCGCTTATGCCCATCCCCACGTGCCCAAGCCAAGACTCCAGTTCCAGCCTCCGCTCCCCAGACACGGAATCGGAAGGTCCGTGACCTGGGAGGTAACAGACCCAGGCCAGCCCCCGAGGCCGCGGCTTTGCACCGCCAACCTGCTGTTTTGCCGATTGTGACTTCCTTGTCCCTGCGCCCTTCTGCCCATGACCTTGCGCTTTGTTCCGCGCCTCGGAACTCCTCTCCGTCGGCTAGATGGGCTGTTGCCTGATTCAAGTCAATCTTTGCTCAAATAAACTTGAGTTTTGTAGCATGCCCCCGTCTGTAACCAGCCCAGTGCTGGATGCGGGACCTGAAGGAGACCTTCTGCAGCCCCCAGGACCCGCGACCACCAGGCCCAGAGGCCCACTGAGCCCCTGGCTTTCCAGTTGCCACCAGAGGTGGTGGGCAGCCCTCAGATCCAACCAGCCTCGCAGCTTTTCATTGTGAGCTTTCAGACTTTATTTGAGCATTATTTTCCAAGACTGGGTCAGACTTAAAAACCAGAATGTTTAACCAGTTAAATCTGGATCCAACCAGAAAACTGGACTGGGGCCAAGGCGGAAACCAGACTGGCTCTAGGGTAGGACTAGGTCTAACTTAGCTGAGCTGGGTCCAGTGTGAGGCCTCAGATGAATAACATTTTTTTAAATTTGTTTTTATTTATTCATTCAGGAGAGACACAGGCAGAGGGAGAAGCAGGCCCCATGCAAGGAGCCTGACGGTGGGACTCGATCCTGGGTCCCCAGGATCATGCCCTGGGCCAAAGGCAGACGCTCAACCGCTGAGCCACCCAGACAGCCCGAGGAACATTTTATTTTAAGGCTAAGCAAGCAGGTTTTCCTTACCAAGGGTAACCCTGGGTTAGTGGCAGCAGTGGACAACTTTTCATCTAGATAAGCTTATCCATTTATGAGATGTCTAGAGAAAGAATGGGTCTCAGCCAAAGCCCTCCCCACTTAAAGTAGAAAGTTATTTTTTTCCCCTCTACAGTTTCTGGGAACCAGGAAGAGCCCTGCTGGGACAACCCACCTGCCCTGGAATCTGCAGGTGGGATCCTGGAAAACTGGCAGGAGCAGCAAACCGTGAGAGAAGTCTTCCATATCTGGTGCCTGGTCTAGAGAGGAAGCTAAGATGTGACCTCATCCATTCCTTTCCACCTTGAGACTGGCAGGCAAAAAGCATTTGTTAAGAATTAGATCTTTGGGGGATCCCTGGGTGGCGCAGCGGTTTGGCGCCTGCCTTTGGCCCAGGGCGCGATCCTGGAGACCCGGGATCGAGTCCCACGTCGGGCTCCCAGTGCATGGAGCCTGCTTCTCCCTCTGCCTATGTCTCTGCCTCCCCTCTCTCTCTCTCTCTGACTATCATAAAATAAATAAAAATTAAAAAAAAAAAGAATTAGATCTTTGAGTTAGAACTTGAAATTTGTTTTCAGTTACCCATTGGTTGTTGGTCCTTCTCTCCCATGGACAGTTCTGTTGCTTTGTTGTCTCATTTTGTGTCCACAGAACTTGGCTTGTCAACTGTCAGGCTGGGGACCCCGAAATACGGTCGGGACAGAAATGGTGGCTTGCACTCTCCTTTGTGGCCAGGGTCCAAGCACCTGTTGCGGGCTCTCAGGGATTGTCTTTAGGGGTGGCTCTGGGTAGTCACATGGCACTATCTTCCATGCCTCCTTTGGGGACACCTCTTGGGACCACAGGGTGGCTCAACACTGACAGGAATATTTACTGTTTGTCTCAGCTGAAACCCAACAAGCTGTTTGAAAGAAATTTTTTTTTTTAACTAGCTAAACGGCCAAAAGTTGGCCAAGAAGCTGATATTCAGAGCCTGATAGTTTCATTGAAGCTTTGGGGAGAAGGCATACAAAGAAGTTCCTATGTGTCCAAAGGAAAGAAGCACATTCTGAAGTCTTTGTGGAAGGATTTACTAAAACATTCCAAAGACACACAGCTCTCAGTCTAGAATGTAGGAAATCTCTTGATTTCCTATCTTAGTTGAAAATCGTCTCCCTGATTGAAAAGAAAGAAAAGCAAATTGACGATAATGTAGTTGGATGGCTGGGTCAACCTCTTGATACCATTCAGGTTGCAGCCCAGTTTTTTGAGGAATTTAAAACAACTGTACTTGGGGTGTCCGGCTGGCTCAGAGCGAGTAACTCTTGACCTCAGGGTTATGGGTTCAAGCCTCACAATGGGTGTAAGAGATTACTAAAAACAAACTTTTAAAAATAAATAAAAACCGTGCTTGTCTTAACAAACTGAGTCTTGATAAGAATAGAAATGTGGTTCTCAGGCACTCCTGTCATCTCACCGCTCACCCCGTCATCTCTACAAACCCCCAAACCTCCCTGTGCACCTCAGGAGGCTTTGGGCAAGTCCCTCTTAGCGGAACTTGTGTTCTCTCTGCATGCCTCCTATGATGGAAGAGTTCTACTCTGCGCAATTCTTATCGGGGGAAAAAAAATCTTTAAAATCTTCTCCACAAAATACTGGTGAATAGTTTAAGCCATCTGAGCAGGTAACCTTAATGTATCCCATTCTGCCAAAGCGAAAAATAAACTAGTGAGTTTTAGGCAGCGCCGGTGGCTCAGCGGTTTAGCGCCGCCTTCCGCCCGGGGCCTGATCCTGGAGTCAGTCCTGGGATCGAGTCCCACATCGGGCTCCCTGCATGGAGCCTGCTTCTCCCTCTGCCTGTGTCTCTGCCTCTCTCTCTCTCTCTCTCTCTCTCTCTCTCTCTGTGTGTGTGTGTATGTCTCATGGATAAATAAAAAATAAACTAGTGAGTTTTGCACTAAACTCTTGAAAGCTACCAGAGCTCTGTGTCTGTGGGCATAGGTGTGTCAATGTGTGCACCCTGTAAACATGCGCTCTTTTGTAGCTGCAGATGTTGCCAAAATTCATCTGTAAAGAGCCCAATTTGGCTTAAGACAAATATTCTATCAATCGAGTATATGCTCAAACACAGAAACTAACCAAATGTTTTTCAAGTTCATGTGATCTAGGATAATCTTCAGTAAATGAAATCTAGTTTGTTGGCTTAATTAAAACAGGCATGTCTTCAGAGTTTTTAACATTAAATATAATGTGAACATACAACTTACTCTACATTAGTTTACTAAAAATCAAGTAAGCTCACATTGTGACAGTATTTGTTAGCAAGAAAAGATAGTGGTTAGGGTTTAATACTGTTAAATTTTCACAAATGGTCTAAATTGTTATGTGAATCAAATAGATGTAAATAAGACAAAACTTTATAAATGAACTTTTCAACAATACTTAGGCTTTTTGAGAAGTCTACTTAAAAATAGTTTTTTGGTAACTTAAAACCTTAAAGTTACACTGAGATAAATAATGGATACTCATGGAGTATCTAGATCACTTTCCAATAAGATGAAAATATAGAAACATTGGGGCACCCTAGTGGCTCAGTCAGTTTAAGAAACCGACTCTTGGTTTCAACTCAGGTCATGATCCTCTCAGGGTCATGGGATCAAGCCCCAGGTGGAGGGCTCCAAGCTCAGCGGGGAGTTGGCTTGAGATTCTCTCCCTCCTCCCTCTGAATGCCCCTCTCTAAATAAATCTTTTTTAAAAAATACTGAAACATTAACTACTGAACAAAGGTTTACCACTTTGGCTTCCCTTTACAGAGGAGGTAAAGACATTCCACTTTATCAGTAAACACATTTTGTGCTAGATGGAAAACTTACTGAGACGAATATGCATTTAGAAACCATGAAAATATATTTATAAATTTGCCGATCCACAGAATGCCAGCTTAACAGTCCACAATTTACTTCTTCACTTTCACTAGGAATGAAGGATCCTAAAGGTTACAAATTCTAATCAATGTGAAAGCTACTCAGCAATAAGAAGTCACTCAGATGGGGGGCACCTGAGTGACTTAGTTAAGCATCAGACTCTTGATTTTTTTAAGATTTTATTTATCTATTTATGAGAGACCCAGAGGCAGAGACATAGGAGAAGCAGGCTCCCTGGAGAGAGCCTGATGTGGGACTCAATCCCAAGACCCTGGGGTCACAACCCTAGCGGAAAGCAGACACTCAATCACTGAGCCCCCAGGCATCCCAGGCTCGATTTCTGCTCAGTCAAGGATCCAGCCCTGCCCCTGACAGCTAGCCCTGGGCATGGAGCCTGGTTAAGATCCTCCCTCCCTCTCCCTGTCCCACCCTCCTCTGTTCTCCCCACCTCCAAAGAAAAGGGAAAAAAAGGGTGAAAGGAAACATCTGTGTATGGAAAGTAGGTAAGGAAAGTAAAATGGCTGAATTTTCCAGAATTAAAAGCGAAAACCCAGGACAAAATCTGAATGGATAGAAAAAAGTTGTAGAACGTTTGTGGAAAAGCAATGTTGGGAAAGGAATTTTATGTGTGGTGAAGCAAGTTAAGATTGGAAGAGATTTCTTCAAGTTCTATTTAAATGAGTTTTAATAACAAAACTACAAAATTAGAATTTAGTTTTCTGTTAAAAGGTCAAAGTTTTCTTAGATGATTTTGTCACTTTCACTAGACAATTATTACTTCATAATTATCTGTGATCCTACTTAATCAAATGTTGAAACTTTTTGATATTTTCTTAAAATTCTCAATAGTCTGGGCAGCCCAGGTGGCTCAAGCAGTTTAGCACTGCCTTTGGCCCAGGGCGCGATCCTGGAGACCCAGGATCAAGTTCCACGTCAGGCTCCTTGCATGGCGCCTGCTTCTTCCTCTGCCTGTGTCTCTGCTTCTCTCTCTCTCCTCTCTGTGTATTCTCAGAAATAAATAAATAAAATCTTTAAAATAAATAAATAAATGAAATCCTCAATAGTCTTTTAGACCTCCAGCTGACTTTTGAGATTTCCCAGAGGGCTCCTAGAAAATCTAAGGATGTCTCTCATTAATTTAACATGTTAAAATATGTGGGAAGCATTGTCAAATGCTTAGGTTATATGTGTATGGATATGTTATTAACATAAGTATTCCAGAAATAGAAGTTTCTAGATGTTTGTCAAAACTCTCATTGTCCGACTATTACTCTAAATGATTGTAAGCCACAGAAATAACATTTCCTTCCCCGATGAACTCATCAGATCATTAACTGTGGGCATTTTTAGTTTTGTCATTTACAGTCCCTTTCCTCTGAAGCTTTTGTAAAATTGAAATTCATGGAAAGGACCCTACTAATAAGTATTCTGACTACTGACACTGCTGCCGACCTACAAGGTATTAAACCCTG